GAGAGACAGCCTGCCAAGCGTCGGGCTGCAGCTGGAAGCAAGTAGCTCGGATGCATTGACACTGTGTAAGTGGAGAGCCAGCCGGCAAGTGTTGGCTGCAGACGGCTAATACGTCTCACACTTGGAAGCCCATCATCCTGCGCTTCAGGGCGAACAGGGTGGCACACCCGATGGAAACGGCCTTGTTTTTACTAAGCCAGCCTGCCATGTCTTAGTTGGCTTGCAGCAAGCAACCCAAACCGCTCGGCGCATCGCATAATGGCATCCAACCCCATTGAAACAGCAAAAGGTGCACAGGGCCGTAGCTATGTCAGCTCATCTCACACGCAGGGTATTTTCTTGAGGCGATTCAGCAACGGTTAGGCCACCCGTTAAATTAAGGCGCAGGCACACCCTATGGCCGGGCAGTTGGATGTTGAGACGGCAGATCGCACGGGCAGATCGCACGCACCGTTCGTGGCCAGCCTGTCAAGTGCTTGTTGCAGCTTGCAGCAAGTACCCCAGCAAAACTACAGGTATTCTTCGGCATTGCGCAGCGCGGCTGTAGGTTCGGGGTCACAGTGTAGGAGGTGCCAGGGCTTTGCCGTGTTATTTCATTCGCAATGCAAGGATTCCTGAGAGACACGGTCAGGAACAACTTAGACTGGGAAAACTATCCTGTCAGCTGAAGCACGAATCAGATCTGTACAACTTGGATAGTTGCTGCGCGCGAGATGTTAAGTTGGCGCGAAATGAGTGCCTTACGGTTGGGTGTCGGCTGCAGCTGGCAGCAAGTAACTCAGCAAGACTTAAGCTGCTCAGCAATTCGCAGAGTGGCTGTGGGTGTGATTAACGTTGTGGCAAGAGGCACGAGGTTGCTGTCGTGCTTGTCTTTATCACAAGGAAAAGGCCTGGGCAGATGCAGTTGGGGAGATTTAGGCTTGGATGTCCACCCTGCCAGCTGAAGGCTCACGCGCACGCCCCCTTCGCTTTGCGGGCAACGGCCGGCTGAGTCTCCCCAAAGAGTGGGCAGGTGTTTCTTGGTGAGATCTAGCCTACCAAGTGTTGGCTGCAGCTGACAGCAAGCAACTCAGCAAGACTACCGCTGCTTGGCAATGCGCAGAGCAGCTGCAGGTTCAGCTGACACGGTTTAAGAGGCGCAGGGCTTTTGGTTTCTCAGCTTGCCTCCCTTTCAATATTTGCTGGAAGAGACATTGCTAGTCTGGAAGCCCGCCCAAGTTCATGCTCACTCGCACCTGTGGCAAGTTGGATTGCTTGGCAGCAAGCAACTTAGCAAGCAACTCAGTAAAACAACTGTCAGTTGCTAGGTTCAGGTTGACATAGTTTTGCTTACTTGGTTCATCTCCACTTCAAGCATGTCTAAGAGATATGGTTGGCGACACTCACACTTGGAAGCTCATTTTTTGTGAGATACCCGCTCGCGCATGCCCCTTGCAAACTGAACATTGCCTGGAGAGCGAGATGTCAAGGCGGTTTGCAGACACTGCAGTTGTTATTACGTTTACAAAGAACAAGCGGACAACAAATGCTTCTTGCGGAGAGACAGCTTGCCAAGTGCTTGGCTGCAGCTGGCAGCAAGTAGCTCGGGCAGTTTGCAGAGTGGCTGCAGGATGCATTGACACAGCGTAAGTGGAGAGCCAGCCGGCAAGTGTTGGCTGCAGACGGCTAATACCTCTCACACTTGGTCACTCAGCCTCACAAAGGTATTCTTGCACAAGCTCTGGCTCCGTGAAGCCCTCAGCGTAGGCTGCAGAGTATAAGCCCCGAACCAATTAGAAAAAAACGTAGATTTTTCATTTGGAGGGCCAGCCTAGAATTTTGTGGAACCGCGGCCCCCTTGGCAGAACCCCTCTTTCCTTCGCAGAACCTTTCTGCGGCTCAGGCAGTACTATCTTGCAAATGTATTCTATCTCCCGATAACCCCGTGTAACAATTTTGTTCTGCCCACAGAGAGTAAAAGTGTTTCTTGTGGAGAGCCAGCCTGCCAAGCGGCTGCAGCTGGCAGCAAGGAACTCCTCAGCTGTTCGCAGAGTAGCTGCGGGTTAAGCTGACACACTTTGGTTTTGCAGCTTGCCTCCCTTTCAATAATTCCTGGAAGAGACAGTTGCTAACAGTCTGGAAGCCCGCCCAGAAAGTTCAAGCTCACGCAAGCCCTTCGCAAGCTGGATCGTGGCAATTCAGCAAGCTGTCAAGGTGGTAGGTGGCAAGTGCAGCTTGCGCTTTTTCCCCTGCCCGCAGAGATGACAGGTGTTTCTTGTATAGGGCATTACTGCCACGCGTTGGCTGCAGCTGGCAGCAGGCTCCACGGCTGCAGAAGGAGATGGTTGACACCGTTTACACGTGGGAGCCCATCCCACACATCAGGGCGAACTCTCTTCTTTGGTAAGATGCTGGATGGCAAATCCAAGGGCCAGACAGCCGCCTCTTTTGTGAGCCAGCCTGCCATGGGTTGGTTCTGTGTTTTTTTTTTCGGGCTTGCTTGGCTTTGGTACAAACCCGGTCCTGCGCCTGGCTCACGAGTCAGGACTAATTTAAAGACTCCAGCCGCTCGGTGCATCGCAGAATGGAGTCCGACGCAGCAAAAGAGGCGCAAGGCTCCTGTCAAGCTGAGCGCTCTGAACAGGGCCCCTTCCTCCTTTGGGAGTGGAGGCACTGACCCAGTGCAGGTCGCATGGGGGTAACCGAGGTGGAAGCCCCATCACAACACAACACACCCCAAAAGGCACCACCCGCTGACCTGCGAGTACCCCATCAATGCTTGGATGCTGGCACTGTCGCCAACGATCGTCGCATTGCCTTACTCGCTACTTGCTCTGGATTTCATCCAGCAACATTTGCAACTCTTGCTCAAGTCCGCCCATGGGCGCTTGGCCGAGTTTTTTCTTCGCCGCCCTGGGCCTTGAAGGCTGGAACACTTGCAATATCAGCTCATCTCACATGCAGGGATAGATTTATTGAGGCGATTCAGCAACTTAGGCTTCCCTTCAAATTAAGCCGCAAGACTGATAGTGGCCGGGCAGTTGGATGGTGAGATGGCAGATTGCACGCACCATAGTCTCTAGTCTGCCAAAGACAATGACTTGTCGTGGCCAGCCTTCCAAGTGATTGTTGCAGCTGGCAGCAAGCAACTCAGCAAGCCTACTGCTATTCGGCATTGCGCAGCGCGGCTGTAGGTTCAGGGTCACGGTGTAGGAGTCTCAAGGCCTTTGCTGTGCTTCTTCGTTTGCAATGCAAGGATTCCTGAGAGAGACGGCTAGCTACAGCTTAGACTGCCTGGGGCGTCCTTCGTTACCTCAATTTCTGCCCAGAGCCCAAGCGTAATGCAAAACCAGGGGTCGTCACCAAACTATGGTAAACGTACACTTGTTCATGCCTCGAGCGTTTTTCCAAAAACCGAGCTGATCGGTCCTCCAAGATAATCGGTCGCTGAAAGGAGCGCGCAGAAATCCAAGTGCAAAACGAGCGCAAATATCCGCAAAACGAGCGCATATATCCGCAAACAAATGCAAATTTAAAACACGTAACACTTGCTCGCTTCCTCCGGATGGAAGACGGGGATTTGATCGAGCGTTTTTTCGGGAGTCAAGCGTTTTGTTTCCCATGGGAAAAGCATTATGCCAGCTGAAGCACGAATCAGATCTTTACAACTTGGATAGTTGCTGCGCGAGGGATGTTAAGTTGGCGCGAAATGAACACCATACGGTTGGGTGGCATGCCCTTATTGTGGACGGCCAGTCTGCCAAGCGTCGGCTGCAGCTGGCAGCAAGTAACTCAGCAAGACTTAAAGCTGCTCAGCAATTCGCAGAGTGGCTGTGGGTGTGATTAACGTTGTGGCAAGAGGCACGAGGTTGCTGCCGTGCTTGTCTTATCACAATGAAACGGTCTGGGCAGATGCAGTTGGGGAGATTTAGGCTTGAACTTTACCCTGGAAGTTTGGGGCGCACGCCCCCTTCGCTTCGACCGCAACGCGCGGCTGATTCTCCTGAAAGTGAGGGCAAGCGTTTCTTGTTGAGAACCAGCCTACCAAGCGTTGGCTGCAGCTGACAGCAAGCAACTCAGCAAGACTTCCTTTGCTTGGCAGTTCGCAGAGTAGCTGCAACTTCAGCTGACACGCTTCAAGAGGTGCAGGGCTTTTGGTTTCTCAGCTTGCCTCCCTTTCAATAATTCCTGGAAGAGACAGTTGCTAACAGTCTGGAAGCCCGTCCAGAATGTTGAATCTCGCGCGCACGTCCTCGGCAAGTTGGATGGTGGCTGGGCAGTGAGATGTTGAGAAGGCAGATGACAAGTGCCGCATTCTCGGCTCGCGCGTTGTTTTTCTGCGCCCAGAGACATTGAGCATGTCGTGTATCCCTACCCCCTCGAAAATGGAACTAGCAACAAACAAAGCAGCAAGACTACAGCCGCTTAACAGTTTGCTAGAGGCGACCTCCCTTCACAAGAATTGCTGGAAGAGACTGTTGCCAATTGTGACATTTTGTGGAAGTCCACCTTGCAAGTTCCAGCTTGAACGCGTCCTTGGCAAGTTGGCTGGTGGCAAGGCAGCAAGATGTTGAGGCAGCAGACTGCACGCGCTACATTCTCGGCCGGCGCATGGTGTTCGGTTCACAAAGGCGACAAGTCTGGAGCCAGCGCAGAAGTTTGTGGAACCCCTGCCCCCTTCGCAGAAACCCCGCTACCTCCGCGGAACGTTCTTGGGGCTCATGCCATTGACACGGCATAAGTGGCACATGGCTTTTGCAGTCATGTTGCAGGCCAGGATGATATCATGAGATGCTTGGCGACATTCAAGCTAAACCGCCAGCCTGCAAGTTACAGCGCGCGGAAGGAAGGGGGTGATATAGATGGTCTATTGCTGTGGGGCCAAAGCCGGCTGGCAAAGGGGAGCTTGACATTCCTTTGTTTCCTATAGACCGGAGGCAGGCAGACAGAAATATGCCGTATCTATAGGCGAGTCTCTTTACACCCCTTTCTGTCTCTCATATTCACTCTGCGGGCAAGACTCAGACATGGATGTCCATTCCGTGCACACCCTTTGCAGATTGGACGACAGATGCGCAGCAAGATGCGCAGCAAGAGGTTACGATGGCAGATGGCAAGTGCCGCGTTGCCTGATGCAAAGCCAGCTGCCAAGAGTTGGCGCCAGCTGGCAGCAAGCAATTCAGCAAGACTCCCACTGCTTGGCAGGTTGCAAAGGTGGCCATTGCTTCAGGTGACGCAGCGCAGGGGGCGCAAGACCTTTGCTGTCTTGTGATGTCCACCTCGCGCACGCTCTTTGCAGATTGGATTGCGGCTGCGCAGCGGGATGCTGACATGGCAGATGGCAAGCGCCGCGTTGCCTGATGCAAAGCCAGCTGCCAAGTGTTGGCTGCAGCTGGCAGCAAGCAACTCAGCAAGACTAGCTCTGCTTGGCAGGTTGCAAAGGCGGCTACCGTTCCAAATAACATTGTCCGCAAGAAGAAACCCGTTTATGCTCTTTGCAGATGCAGGTTCAGCTGACACTTCAAGAGGCGCAGGGCTTTTGGTTTCGCAGCTAGCCTCCCTTTCAATAATTCATGGAGGATATATTCCATGTTCCACCTGCGATGGCTACTGAGCAGGTGAGCAACGTTTTTCCCACCGACGTTTGCCTTGAAGAATGCGCGGTTAGGGACATTAACAGTGGTGGTCTATAGGGGACGACTCTTCATCCCAGTATTTTTTTGCTGGGCGTTCCTTCTTCGCCTTGTGGAATCAGATGCAACTTTGTGCCCGGCAGCCACTCTTCGCGGAAGCTGGCGCCTGCGTCGCGGAAGCTTTGCGGAATCTCTTGCGGAGTGTTGGTTTGGACATGATTCAATCGCGGAAGCTGGAGCCCGTATTGATAGGGGTTTCAGAAGTTGCGGTGTTGAGGCGCAGCAGTGCCACGACCTAAGTTATGTCAGATCGACCTTTGAAATGAAGAATTCGACCTAACGACCTAGGGAATATAATAATTGACCCAGAATGTTGGTTTGGAGCGAGGAGGGCTACGTGCACGTGGACACGTTCACGGAAGCTGGGGCCTGTGTTGCGGAAGCTTCGCGGAAGCGCCGCGGAAGTTTGCGCTAGGGTCTGCGTCGCGGAAGCGTTGCGGAAGCCCTCGCAATAATGTCCATTCACTTGTAGAGAATTAAAAACAAAGCTCAGGTGGCGTCAGACGAGCTCCAAAAATACATTCCGGTGGGGCAGCCAGCATGATCTCCCCGGACCGGCTCCTTTTTCGGTATGTTGCGTAAACATGAGGTGAATGCTGCAACAATTCCCCCTGAGTGAGTCCAATTTGGCACGCCTGCTGCCAAAGACAAAACGGCTGCTGCAGCTAACTGCAAACAAAGCAGCAAGACTACAGCCGCTTGGCAGTTTTTTTGCCGAGTAGCTGATTCCGCGCACGCTCTTGGCAGATTGGATTACGGATGCGCAGCAAGATACGCCGCAAGAGGTTAAGATGGCAGATGGCAAGTGCAAAGCCAGCTGCCAAGAGTTAGCGCCAGCTGGCAGCAAGCAATTCAGCAAGACTACCACTGCTTGGCAGGTTGCAAAGGTGGCCATTGCTTCAGGTGACGCAGCGCAGGAGGCACGAGGCCTTTGCTGCCTTGTTGTTTCTCCAGTACTTCAGCCACTTTGGTAGCCGGGCAGTTGGATGGTGACATCTGCCGACAATGACTTCTCGTGGCCAGCCTTCCAAGTGATTGTTGCAGCTGGCAGCAAGCAACTCAGACAGACTACAGCTATTCGGCTGGCCACAAGTAACGCAGCAAGACTTAAGCTGCTCAGCAATTCGCAGAGTGGCTGTGCATGTGCTTAACGTTGTGGCAAGAGACAAGGGGTTGCTGTCGTGCTTGTCTTTACCACGAGGAAAATGTCTGGGCAGATGCAGTTGATGCCAGTTTAAGGCTCACGCACAGGGTCGCTTTTGCCAGTTTCAGATTCTCACCCTGTGGTGCTTTTGAGCATTAGCTCCGACTTAGTACGAATCAAATCTTTACAACTTGGATGTTGCTGCCCGCGAGATGTTAAGTTGGCGCGAAACGACACGGTTGGATGGCATGCCGTTATCATGGAGGGCCAGTCTGCCGAGCGTCGGCTGCAGCTGGCAGCAAGTAACTCAGCAAGACTTAAGCTGCTCAGCAATTCGCAGAGTGGCTGTGGGTGTGATTAACGTTGTGGCAAGAAGCACGGGGCTGCTGTCGTGCTCGTCTTTATCGCAAGGAAAGGGCCTGGGCAGATGCAGTTGGGGAGATTTAGGCTTTGATGTCCACCCTGCCAGTTTAAGCCTCACGCGCATGCCCGGGCAACGGACGGCTGAGTCTTCCCAAAGAGTGGGCAGGTGTTTCTTGGTGAGAGCCAGCCTACCAAGTGTTGGCTGCAGCTGACAGCAAGCAACTCAGCAAGACTACCTTTGCTTGGAAGTTCGCAGAGTAGCCGCAGGTCAAGCTGACACGCTTTAAGAGGTGCAGGGCTTTTGGTTTCTCAGCTTCAAGCCTGGGTCGCTTTTGCCAGCTTCAGATTCTCACCCTGTGGTGCTTTTGAGCATTTGCTTCGACTTAGTGCGCCCGTCAGCGCCTGGCTGGGCAGTGAGATCTTGAGAAGGCAGATGGCAAGTGCCGTATTCTCTGCTCGCACGTTGTTTTTCTGTCCCCAGAGACATTGAGTGTGTCTTGTACCCCCCCCTCAAAAATGGAATCGGGGCTAGCAACAACCCACGTGCCCAAAAGGCTAACATTTTTATTTCCAGGTCCTTTGGGCAAGTGAGACAAACAAAGCAGCAAGACTACAGCCGCTTGGCAGTTTTGTTGCTGAGTAGCTGATTCCGCGCACGCTCTTGGCAGATTGGATTAAGAGGTTAAGACGGCACGTGCTTGTCCTTATCACAAGGAAAGGGTTTGGGCAGATGCAGTTGGGGAGATTTAGGCGTTGATGTCCACCCTGCCAGTTTAAGGCTCCCGCACATGTCTCTTTGCTTCGCGGGCAACGGACGGCTGAGTCTTCCCAAAGAGTGGGCAGGTGTCTCTTGGTGAGAACCAGCCTACCAGGTGTTGGCTGCAGCTGACAGCAAGCAACTCAGCAAGACTACCTTTGCTTGGAAGTTCGCAGAGAAGCTGCAGGTCAAGCTGACACGCTTTAAGAGGCGCATGACTTTTGGAAGCCTTTTGCCAGCTTCAGATTCTCACCCTGTGGTGCGTTGCGCCCGTCAGCAGCAAGGCTGTCTCAGTTCTAGCGCGAAATATTGCGCGCAATCCAAGGCATGTTTTAGTGTCCCCAAAATAGAGGCCTCCGCTCCACGGGAGGCCTCCCGCACCTGTAGCAGTTCCGAACGCCCGTGATAACGGGAGTACTGTGGCACTGGTATGGGGGGGGCCTCCCACGGCGGAGGCCTTGTTCTGGGGGGGGGGCCCTGAATTTGCACAAAAAAACGTTTGACGGTCGATCCCCTGAAAGTCGTGAGAAGGTGAAACATTGCCAAGAAACTTGGGTTTTGACGGCCCACCCTCCGAAACTACGGGGTTCGCCGTTTGAGGGTTGTAAGGCAGTCTGCACCGCCACTGTCAGTACTCCGAGTCCCCGTCCCGCACTTGCCCGCTTAACAGAGCTAGCTTTCAGGGCCCAACTCAGCCCGGAACTTCACGAACCAAAATGGAAGGCCACCGAGAGGGGACCCGCCCTTATTCTCCCTCACACAAACTGGGATCTGGACCGTCCCTATTCCAATAAAAGCATTTCGCTTGATGAATCCTGGTGATTTATCTTAGCCGCTCAGCAAGCATTCAACCACCAGCTGCCGGGCCACTGCCCCAAGCAGCTGCGGCGCCCTTTGTTGGACACCAGAGGCTGAAGGCTCCTACACCAAACTGATCCCGCGAGGCAGCCCCCGATACTCCAGAGCGCGGCGGTGCGTTTGCTCGACAGGGCGTGCTGCTGAAACAAGCTTTGGGCTGGCCAGCCTCCAAAATATGGAGCTGCAGGCCGCCTTATAACACTCCAATTGCAATAAATAAGCTGGGCATGGGGACGACAGGCTTGCAAACCAAGAAAACGCACGATTGGAGATAAGGGTTGCAAGACAGACTTTTTGCCAACCAAGCGTCCCCCATCGCAAAATGCCTGTTTAGTGAAACCGTGTCCAGAAGCCGATCTGAGTCTTCTGCACAAGCCTGAGAACTTGGGGGTTGTCAGCCCTCTCCGGCAACGCCATCCACTGCCTTTGCAGCTTGGCGCGCCTTCGCGCCGCGTGGGCGTAACTCAACTGGCACATGTCCAATGTAATAGGACTGTCACTGAAAAGACTCCAAACCAGCGAAAGCGTTTTCAAATGGAGTTGGGGCCACATGGAACCCAGGATTGCGACGCTCGACATGAGAACCTGTCCCAGGTCATACTGTGACCTCGTCATCGCGGTCTCAATGATATCACTTGGGCAAACTCGAAACAGATGCTAGCAAACCAGAGCATGCGCAGAAAGAAGGCAACACCATGCGGAATCCGTGGTTCAGGGTTGACTTGTACCAAGCATGTTTGTCAGACGGGCTGCGGAAGTTTGAGTCTCATGTTTCAAGCAGGACCATGCAGGACCGTAAATGCGCTGCGCTCATGTCTGTCAGCCGCTTGTTGTTGCTGAAGGTTTGCTGAGCTGCGCTGATCAAGTCTTGTGTAGATTTGACCGTGCACTGAGTGCCAAGGGTGTTTTGTTGTTTTGTCTAGAGAGAGTTGTTGTCTATTGACGGTCGTGAGGAGTTGCTGAATAGCGTACTGCGTTGGCATGTCTGTGACAACATGCGTTTGGTTGCCAAGCAAAGCAGACATGAACACATCGAGGCGCATGGGCGTGAGTTGCACGAGTGGTATCAGTTGCATGACGCGCGTGCGATTTTGTCAAGTTTCGCCCACTTGGCTGGGCGTTCCAAGTTTGGCTGGACAATGTTTGATGCGACAAGAATGCCTAGTGGTAAGTTTGGACATTTTCCAACTTTCGCACCCAGAAGCGTATGCGGTTGGATCTTGGCTCAGGTGGGGCAGCAATGATGTTTTGGAAGACAACTTCTTGGGGAGGCTCAGGGGGTGGAATTTGAAGCTATTGCACGTACTCTTTCGAACAGCTTGGGGGTTGGGCTGCCCACATGCGTATGAGTGTATTAGGAGCATGAGGTGTAGATGGCGCATGATGCTGATTTTGGCAGTTTATTGGCATGACGCGACGTTGTTCTGTTTTCTGGATAACTTGGGCTTGGGCTGATGCAAAGTAATTAAGCCGCACAAGGTGAGACATGTGAGGTGCATGAAAGGAGCACTTTACCAACTTGCGCAGAGCAACTTGCATAAAACCACTTGCGCAGACCAACTTTCACAGAGCAACTTGACAGGAACCATTTGCACAGAGTCAGTTGCACAGAGCCATTTGCACAGAGAAAACTTGCGCAGAGCTACTTGC